TTTTTTGACCTAGGTAAAAATATCAAAATAGTTCTTATTTCCAGACCTGAAAAGTTTGGATTCACTGAAAACTGAGGCTAACGATGACAATGAATGGGGATTTCACCCCATTCTCCCCCCCCCATAGTTCCCATGTAGAACTCTCTCCTGGTGATTAGTTGTAGAGCCTGCGCCAGAGATGTGTATTGAGGGTCCAAGGCCTCCTGTATACCATGTGTACATTCACTGTTGTGAGAGCCTTGGTAGGTCTTGACTTGATTTTATCTGCAGCTGATTTAGGGTATGAATGTCAAGTGTCGATTCTCTGACATGAAACTCCAAATTTCACGGAGGTGAGTTATACAGATACTAAGAATCCATGCTGGATAGAAACGCTATGCTTTATGACATGAAGCCAGATTCAGACATAAAACCAAATATAAAATGTTTTACCAATATGATACATTAGCTGTTACTATGGGAATAGGAAGAAGAAACTTGAGTAGTTCTGGCCTTGTTAATTTCCATTTGGAGCTGCTGTTAATTTGGCTGCATTACATATTGCAAACAAGGATCATAATATTTGGATAGGGCTTTTCATGACCAAAAACTCAAGAAAATTACCCTGTATATAATGTTTAATGGTATCCTCACCTCATCTGATCAAGAAACTCGCAGAGGGGTTAAATTACTATTCACAGATCCCGAAAAGCTGGGGTCTCAGAATGATCTTTGGGTATAAAGTTCGGCAGGTTTAACACAGTCCTCATGGGAACTTTCCTAACGTGGAGACAGATAAAGTAGAGAAAGTTTTTGAGTTCTGTCAAAACGTGAGGTAGTTTTCTCATGCTCTCTCTGCTTTCATAAAAACAATCCATTTCCGTTGAATTCTTTAAGATAAGCTGGTTAATTCCTCCCCCCCATAGTTTTAGAGGTTCTTCGATGATACCTACTGTTCAGTTGGAAACATCAAGCTAATAAGACTGACGGTTCTGATCCAAATCATATGAAAACCCGACAGAGATTTTCTTATGCCTAGAAGTTGAATTTGGTTGTATAATTGATTCTTGTACTGCCCTTCTAAATCAGTAACTGTTAGCACTGTTCAGCATGAATTCAAAGCATGTTTAAGATACGTTCTCGGAGAGTTCCTTCAAATTCAAGGCTAACCTAGTACAAAGGAAACCTTTGTGGCATTTCAGAAACAAATGCTGACAGACTGAAAAAGGTGACACCCTTAAGAATGACAAATAGCATGGCAGTCACAATTGCATCAATGTTTTTAAAAGCCTCATTCTAAAGTTTTTAATGGATGGGTTTCAAATCCGCTAGAACCCTTAAAATTAAACGGTAGTCTGGACGCAATGGAGAGTTGACTCAGATCAGTCTAAGTGAAATAACATATAATTCCAGTTGTGTTGTGTATAAGAGATCGAAAACAGCAGGGCGCAGAAGACCCCGTCTGCACCCCCACCCTCCGCACCTGCAGGTAGTTTGTTCTTATTCACATGATAGGTCTTGGGTTCCCTCTTCCCAAATCTTCCCTTAACCAGGTTCCCTGGAAATGCTTTTCTATTAAAACATTCATTTTCCCTCCCCCTCTTTCCCTTTCTCCTTCTCACTTTCCCTGCTTAAGTAGATATTAATTTATCACCAACCACCTAAGTACCAAGCATGGTCCAAGGGTCTTGGGATACAGCAGTGATCCAGCTCTGGCTCTTCAGCGCTGTTACAAAGAACCATGAAGGCGCATCCCCTCCCCACTGCATGTGAACTCGTTTGTTTATCAGATTGCTTCTCTCCATAGCAGCGGTGGTTGTGACAGGACTGGATCGCCGGCCAGGTGAGTGGATGGGAGAGGGCATGTGTACATGTGTGCATATGAATATGTGTGTGTGTTCGCGCATGTGTGTGTGTGTGTGGAGTGTGACAGGTCCAAATCATGTAGCCTCCTTTGAGGATTTCCACGTGTGTCATCCAGGGATCCTCCCTCTCATTCGCAAGTGCCTAAAACAGTGCCTGGCACAGAGCAGGCAAGCAAAGAATAGCTGCTGAGTGCCTGGAGGCTGTGGGCAAAGCCGTCAGTCAGGTTGGCAGCCTTCTCGAATGACCTGTTTCTGCGCTAGGGATCTTTTTCATTTGAAATGCCTCAACATATGTTATCTTCGGACTCCTCAGTCCCCCCCACCCCCGCCCCGCCCCGCCGCTTTAATAGAGATCTACACTCGGAAACCAGTTATCTAAATCGTCATCCTAATAACATAGTGACTGATGAATATTGTCTCCTTCTCCAAGGTATTTGCATCTTAACGGGGGGAGGGGGATTTTACGAGGAAAGCCCTTTGAAAACAAGGGCCAAGACGTAGTGTTGGATAGCATCCAGCATGCCTAACTCCTGGGAGCCTCCTGGGAGAAGGTTCTCGCTTCGCTTTCTAGTGTGTACAGCTCGGGGCTCCATGCAACTCATCAGCCCACATGCAATTCCCATCTTGGCAGCTAGTGGGGTTTCCACTGTGAATTTTTGTATTCTTGATGCTCAAGGTCTGATTACAACTTCAGGTTTAGTCTCTGTGTAACTTTGATTATGACTTTCCTCCATCCTGTGTAATCAAGCTCAGATTGCCCCGGAGGCACAACAGTGAGAAACGGGAGTGTGCAAAGAAACACTCTGCTTCCTAGCCTTTTGGGCTCCTGTTAACTATCTGGGAAAAAAAATAAATAATTTCCTTTTTGGTACCTCAGATCGGCAGGTCGTCCCTCTCCTGTGGCCAGAGGCTGCGCTATCCGCCATTGTTAAGGACTAATAGTGAAACTTAAAAGATGTTCTCTTGCGAGAGACAACAGGTGGCCACTGCAACCTCTCGCTCTGATTGGTGGAAAGGCCACAGGCGCCCAGTGGCCCAGAGAAAGGGCCTCCACTTCTGCGTTTCAAGAACCTTCTCAATGGGGTGTTGTCCTGATAATATCTCAGCTCGCTGCCAATTTGTGCAACCCGCTGGGCCATTAGGGAGCGCCGCTGGGTTGTCAGCGTTAAATGGAGACCTGGGAGAGAGGACCTAAGCTTTTTTCCGGGGGGGAGGGGGGGACTGGAGTCAACCCCGGGACAATGTGAGCGGTTGTTCCTTTCCTGAATACACACGGCTCTCTCGGGCAGTATCCAAACACACGTTTCGGCTAAGAGAAGAGCAAATACACAAACTTCCACCTAAGTGACGTTTATTTTTCCTGCTTGGTTCCAGAAAGATAATACTGGCGGAAGGTCCAGATGGAGGTGTCACCAAGCCGGAGGGGCTGCTTTGGAGAACAGAAGAAATGAAAAGTAACCCATTTGATGCTTGTCTGAAAAAAAAGTTCAGGCCCTGGTCCAGCCAAGTGTGATCAGGGGAGGGAAGTGTTAGTGAGTGTCCGCTAAAATATTTGAATATTTCTCCCTTCCGGTTGAAGCAGCTTCTAGATAACCAAATTGGGGAGGGTGGGGGGGGGAGCAAATCTCACCGCCTCTCCCTCACGTTCTCATCTAGCAATAAAGTCACTTCCCTTCGCCAAGGCTGAGGGCCAAACTCTCAAATTAACCCGAAGCAGTAAAGGGGGAGGGGGGATTGGAAGGAGGGAGGGAGAGGGTGAGAGAGAGAGATAGCTTAACGAAAGAGAAAGAAATAAAGAGGAGGTGGGTGAGTGCAGTCTGAGGAAGTTTAATCACCCAGAACCTTTTAGGAAAATGGGGACATTTTCTCTCCGAGGGCAGTGAATGATCCGCCTAGATCCAGTTACTCAAATGCCTTTCGAATACAAACAACAGCAAAGGGACTACGGAGAGAACCGACACGAGGCTTAACCCGGGAAGCTTCAAGTCTGCCTACCTGTGAAAGGTCAGGCCCCAACACCCCTTCTGGAAAATACCACAGGTGTACATGGGGTCCCGGCTCCCGGGGGTGGGGGCTGCAGGTTAGCTGCCAGGATAGGTACCTCCAAGCAGAGGACATTCGTGAGGGAAGAAGAGGAGGGTAGACGGGCCGGAGGGCCCGCACCACGAGGGACGAACGGGGCGGGGGGGGGGGGGGGGGGGGGGCAGGAAACCCATGGAACGAGGGGTGGCAAGGGTACGGACGGCGGGGGGATGCCGGTGGCAGGGGCCGGGGGCCGAGGGAAGCGGGGATCGGAGAGGGGGTTGGGAGGGCCACACCGGGCACCGGGCTGGCTGGCGGCGGGCCGGCCGGAGCGGGCGAGGAGAGGAGGGGAGCGAGGAGCGCTCCGAGGCATCGGGGACAAAGAGGACCGGAGGGGGAAGGGGGGCGAGGTGGGGAGAAGAGGGGGCCCCGGGAGGGGGAGGCCGCGGCGCGCGCGCCGGGCACCGGAGGGGCTGCGCGAGGCGCGGGGTGAGCCGCGAGGGGCCGCGCGGGGCAGGGGCCGCGGCGGGGCGGGGTCGGCGCGCCCGGGGGCGGTCCGGGCCGAGGAGCGCACCGGCGGGGCGGGCGGCGCGCCAGCTGCCCGCGGTGGGAGGGGCGGAGCGGCGGCGGCGCGGGGAGGGGACCGGCGGCGGAGGCAGGAGGGGGAGAAGGAGGGGAGGGGCCGGGCCCCTTGTCTCCGCGGCTCCTCTCCTCAGTCCGCCCGGGGAGGAGGAGGAGGAGCGGGGCCAGCGCCGCCGCCGCCGCCGCCGCCGCCGTCCCAGCCTCGCCCCGCGCACCTGAACTCGCCGCGCCGCCCGGGCCCCCGCGCTGCGCCCCGCGCCCCGGGCGCCCGGCCCGCGCGCAGCGCTGCCTCGGTGCCCCAGCGGGGCGCGTCCCCCGGGCCGCCTCCCGCTCTCCCGCGGCTCGCGTGGCCGCGCCTTTGTGTGCGGCGGCCGCGGCTCCCGGGCTCCTCGGGCTCCGGTCGCGGCGCCCCTCCGGCCCCGAGCCCCGCGCGCCGCCCCCGGGCGACCCCGGCCGGGCGCCCCCGACGGTGGATCTAGCGGCTTCGAGGAGACGGGCACCGGCCCCGGCGAGCCCTAGCCCCGGTCTCCCGGCCCCGGGCCCGGCTCCGGCATGGATGTGAGGTTCTACCCCGCGGCGGCCGGGGACCCCGCCGGCCTGGACTTCGCGCAGTGTCTGGGGTACTACGGCTACAGCAAGGTGACTGGGCCGGGGCTGCGGCGGCGGGGCGCGGGCCACCTCCCCATCCCGGGCGCGCCCCGCGCCCCAGCTCCCGGCCCGCTGCACTTTTCTCTTCGCTCTCTACTCCTTTCTCTTTGCGCCCTCGTCTCTGTCCAACTCTCTCGCTCTACTCTTTCTGCCCCCTTCCCACCCTCCTTTTTTGTCCCTCTGCCGGCGCTCCAATCTCTCTCCCCCCAGCCCCCCTCCAACCCCGCCGACTCTCCTTTGCCTTCCCCCAAAGAAGCCGAGAGCGGCCCAAGGACCGAAAGTAGGGGGCACGCTTGTGATTCTTTGTTGTTATTAGTAAACACGATAGCAGCGCCCCGGAGTTGGGGGGGGCGGGAACGCAGCAGTGCGTGATCTCGTGGTCCGACGACCTCGCCGCCCCCCGCCCCCCCCAACCCCTCTTACCTTCCCCGCGCACTCGAGAGCTGGACCCGGGGCAGCTCGGGGAAGGAAGGGAACAAACTTTTGAGCGTGCCCTGGGTTGTACGGAGGTGGGGGGCCGCGGAGTGTTGGGACCCCCGCAGGTGGCCTTTGCTGCCCCCTCGCCAGGGCGCTTTGGGCCGCCGGGCCCCTCCCTGGTTAGCGCCAGTGGCTTCTCATCTTTCATTTTTTGGGGAGGGGTAAGTTTTGCATATCGGGGAGATCAGGCTTGGAGACCTCCACGCCACGCCCTGGGTCACCCTCCCTCCCGCCCCTGCGCCAACTTCGAGGACCGAGCGTTTCAGGTGGGCGAAGGTGGGTCTCAGAAGGGCAGCTGGCGCAGCTCGGACCGGCGAGTCGGTGCGGGAGTCCCAGCCCTTGGGCCAAGGCGGCGAGGTCCCCCCTTCTCGGTCTTTCCTGAAGCCCCCAGGGCCAAGCTTTGGAGGACACATCCCCCCGAGGGCGATGTTCCGAGAAAGAGCAGTGCTCTGGATGGCCTGTGCCTTTTGAATGTGGTTTTTCTTTCTCCTTCCCCCTGCTCCTCCCTCCTCCCCCCTCCCCCTTTCTTTCAAATCGTAGTTTGTTTATGATTGCTTGGATAACAGAGGAAATAGGGAGCCGCTGAAAGAAAGGTGCTATAGAAAACTAATGAATAAATAACAGGAAGAGAAGGAATTGTATCAAGAGTGAGGAACAGTTTGCTGCGCCCCGTGGCTGATGCAGGCTTCTGTTCCTTTCTATTTGTTTACACTCCGTTCCCAACTCCAGGGCTGAAGTTTGTGAAAGACCATTGGGGTCTCTCTGCCTCACCCGTGTGTCCTCGGCGTCCAGCCGCGCGCCTGGCACCGCGGGCCTCCCCACGAGTATAGAATGAAGGGACATTATTCAGTGTGCCTTAACCCTTTGGTGGTGCTGGGGGGGGGGGGTGCGGGACGGAGGGCGTTCTTGCTCTCAAAATTCCAAGAGTGGTACATTGAGCATTGAACGGGAAGAGGAAAAAAAAAAAAAAAAAAAAGAAGGCGGCCTATGGCGGTAGCCAGGGTTAAGGTTTTAGTTTCTGTCCTCTGATTTTGGATTTACTCAGGTTATTAAATGCTTTAAAAAGTCTCCCTTGTATGCTCGGTGAGGGACTTAGGCAGCCTGATTAAGTACGTCGTGTTTCTGAGAACCCACCTAATTGTTCCGGTGGGGTATTATTTATCTCCTTACAACTTAGCCTGTGTACGGGAGCCTTGGATAACTGGGCATGCTCTGATTTTTGGAAGCCATTACCTTGCTTAGTGTAACTACTTCTCTCTCTGATTTAAGATCAGCAACACTCCAATGACACCAAAATAGAAACCTTTTGTACTAATCCAGTCACTGCAATGCGTGGCAAATCTCTCTGTTCACTGAGATCCCAAGGGTACTTCAAGGGACCAGAGGAAATTGTGGGTGTTGTGTGTGTGTGTGTGTGTGTGTGTGTGTGTCCTTTTTTTTTTTTTTGAGAAAAGCTATTTTGAGTCCATTTAAACTCAGAGCATTTACTTCAAGGGAGGGCATAGAAAGCTTGAAAGCCTATGTTACTTATTGAGATGCTTGTTCAACTTCAGGAGTGAGGATGCAAGTTGGTTTGCTCTCATATTTTCTTAATGCAGCTTGTTGCCTGAAATAAGTTGTTTTCTTAGTAAATCAGCAATTAAGTGCCCTGTGTACCCAATTTGCGAAAGTTAGACACCGCCCCAGCCCTTCGTATTGGTAGAAATCAAATTGTACTCATTTTAAGGGATGTTTGCATTTAATCCCTTGCAGATAAATGTATAGTAATCTTTCATTTGAGCCCCAGTCCTTCATTTCTTACTCTTAATTTCAGCAGCGAAAAACCCAGTTTATTCCCTGTAATTTTTCTTTATAGGGAGAATGTAGTAGAAGACGATGTATTAACTTTATGGATATAGAACAGCAAGTGCTAATTAAGGGTTTATAGCATTTTGTTTCACAGCTGACTTGTGTGTTTGAAGTGGTGCTGTTGAATATAGATCTGTATTGAAAATGTAAAAACCAGCATACAAAGACCTACGTTTATTTCACTTGGAAATACCTGCAATTATTAATCTCTTGAGACTTAACTTCTGATATCGTGTATTATCATTCTGGATGGGAAATGATAGGTTTCAAAGAAAGCGTGTTTCTGCCCTTTCTTGTTTTAACGACCATCTGGGAAACTTTAGAAGAAATACAGAACCCTTTGCTCCAGGCTTAACAAGTGAAGAGTTAGTGCTTATCTTTAAATTTATTTACAAACCGTGAATAATAGGGGTTCATTCATTTCTGTCTTTAACAAACGACCAGAGTCCTTTGTATAAATTAGATGTGTGTGTATTATCTTTACATTCTGTGAGTATATGGGTCCTTTTTAAATGTCAGCGCTCAGAAAGTGTACTGTCTACGGAGAATGGATGAAAGAGTTTTGAGGGTTCAAAAGTCCTTGCAAGTAGGAGAGTAACTTCAAATAAAATATAGCCAGGATCATTAAAATCAGTTAATAATTCATGAACCAGCCACTGATGTATAAACTTACAGTCATCTCTGTTTTCTAAGGGCTAATTTCCATTTTAATTTCAAGTGGAAAATCTACTGTTTGAACATTTCTTTTTCTGATGTGGCTAACAAATGAAACTGACACCTATATTTTTTAAAAGGGGAGGGGCCTTATGTTACTCAGGCAAATTAGTGACCCATTGTCTATATGTCTGGAATTTTTCTTTCCCTGGGTTCAGTTTGTCTTTTCGCCAGTAATAAGACAATACGCAACAGATCAGTTAGCATGGCATCAGAAGTCTGCCACCCAGAAATAAACTATTATATTTAAGGTGGGTGTGCGCAAGGAGAAATCACACAGTGGGTTAATAATGAAGTTGGACCAAACTCAATATTTCATAGCTTTTTCTGCATATTCTCAGGTGAGTTTTTTTTTTTTAACCACCCCCCCCATTCAAAATCTGGCTGTTGACTTCATGTCCTATGCAGAGTCTTTTGTTGTTTTTACTCCATCAGTCCTGAACCTTCCTTTCTAATTACTATATGTGTTATTGATCATTCTACTTAATTAAGACGTTCTGATGTGAGTGCTTTCATTTCACCTCCTTGGACTGGCCTCTACCTTGGCTAGCATGAAGAGTGAAGGGTAATTTGTCATTTGTCTATCTGCTTCAAGACCATGGTTCAACTTGAGCCTACACTGAGAGGATTTGACTGCAGCTCTTCTTAAGTTGATACCTTGCACTGGCATGAGAACTAATGATTTAATTGTAGGGCCTGCTGTATGGGGGTGTTGAATTTTGAGAGCAGGTTGAGAGATTTTTTTTTTTTAAATATAATGTATTGTCAATTTGGCTAACAAATAGTGTCTACAATGTGCTCTTGGTTTGGGGGGTAGATTCCCATGATTCATCGCTTAGGTACAACACCCAGTGCTCATCCCAACAAGTGCCCTCTTCAATGCCCATCACCCATTTTCCCCTCCCCCAGGTTGAGAGATTTCCATGTGAGGTCTTCAAACAAGACATTGAAGCCACATTGTGAAAGAGATGTAAGGTTTTTCTAAGGACCTTGGACAAGGGGTCATAGACTCAAAATGCCCCTCGGGACAGCCAGTTTAGGCTACAAGGTAGGGTTTGTGATCTAGGGGAGAACATGCCCCATGTAAAGGGGCAGCCTTGTTCAGCATTTGGGGATTGTTGCCATGCCAACATTTGGGCCCAGTATCTCCACATTTTGCAGTTATTTTTCTAAGAGAATGATAATCTGAGATTTATGTGAGATATCCTGAATTTTAAATGTTGGCAGCAAATTCACACATTATTGAAATCCTTACGTGGGACTCTTAAAACATGCTTGTGGCTTGTGTACTCCTTCTTTGCGGTTTTTGTCTTAGGTAAACTCACATGCAGATGAGGTTAAAAATCAATTTTTAATAAGTCATTTATGGTTTATGGTCAACTATGTGGACAGTGTGGACCATTCCACTCTCCTGTCCGAGCATGTGGACAGTTCAGGTGAGTGAGCACAGGAAGTAGAATTCAACCACTTTTAGCGTACTTCTAATTGAAAAATTTGAATTCTATCATTCATTAATTTTAGGCCTCAAGTCAGTGGAATAGTTCTAGATCAGAGGCTGGCCAATGGTGGCCCACATGTCACATCTGGCCCACTGCCAGTTCTTGGTTGGTTTGTGAGTTAAGAATGGTTTTTCTGTTTTTAAATGGCAGAAAACCCAAAAGAAATATAATCCTCATGACTGAAAATGACACGACATTGACATTTGTGTCCATAAATAAAGTTTTATCAGAACACGGCCCCACTCATTTGTTTCCATACTGTCCATGGCTGCTTGAGTGCTCCAAGGTGAGTAGTTGTAACATTTAGTATCTGTCCCTTTACAGAAGCAGTTTGCTGACCCCTGCTCTAGAGAATCAGAGCAGCAGATGGTTCCAGGATTTTCCTTTGTTCCAAGATGTGGTGGGAGAAGGAAAATCTAGTTAACAAGATGGTATAACTAGAGAGATTACTAT